ACATGTTATAAGGATTATAATTTGAAAAATTAGTGAAATATGACTATGATAATCGGTCAAATTTTGATGAATCGAAAAAGAAATAAGAATCATTGCATAAGCGCTATGTATAAAATCTAATGAATGATTTAAATAAATGTTTATAATAAAAGGTTTAGAGGGGTTTGGTCGATTTTGAAGAGTAGAGAAAAGTGCTCCTCCAAATAAAGAAATAAATGAAAAAAAATTATGATCAGGGCCATTACTATGAGTGTTAGAATCGCAGGTATTAGTTCCATTCATTTTGAAGAAAAATAATATCGACCAGTTTCAAGATCAATATATCGACAAGTTTCAAAATCAATCAATTATAATCGTATCAATGAGATTTCTTGAATTTTTATAAAAAAAATATGTACTAGTTTAGAAGTTTAACAATTTTCTAAAAGAATACTATGCATGCGCCTTGTTCGCCACATGTGGTACATATCAGACATGTATGTACGTACGTACTACGTGTCAATGTAACATTTCGCTAATATGATCATTCCTCGACATAATCAATCACTTCCTCATTGTAACTAGAGATGGGCAAATTATGCATTTTTTACCCAGAATTATGTCAGTTTTAAAAACGCCTGAGCTACGGCACAACACTCACGTAATATATCCAACAGATGTTATGCATATAAGCCCCTTAACCTTAACACTAATGCTAATTCTGGTTATTGTTGTGTCTGAAACGTTGTGTCCGTAGCTTTTCCTTTAAAAATCGCACAGCGCAACCTGTCCCTAATTGTAGCACTTTTCCAAAATAATCTTTTTTTATTCTAGAAGTTATATTGTGCAAAATCAAGAACGGTCATCTTGTTCTTCATTAAATGACCAATAAAATGATAAGATCGGGTATAACAATTTGAATGTCGCCAGATGATTCTAAAAATAGATTATGAATTTCATAAGGATCCATTATTGTAAATCAATTGCCCGGTAACTTTTTATACTTTTTGAGAACGTGACGTTTCACTAATAAAAATTCGCATAAAAATAACCTTAAGCTTCAAACGAACGCTAATATTAATTCTACAAAAATAATTTCAAATAAGTTGACAGACTTTGCTTAGAAGACGAAATGTGCTTACCGTTTATTGACGAAGTTATTTCAAAAAATACAGTAAACAATCAACTAACTAAAATGTCTCGTTAACGATTCAACTAAGTTAATCTAACTAAGCTATTCATATCGGCCGATTTGATTTTTGGGGTTTTTTAGATAAACTATTACACAAAATTTTGCGCTTACAGTAAGTAACGTTGAAAAAAAAGTAATAAACGAAACACTTACTATAACTAATAAAAGAGCTTTTTTGGTATACAAGATAAAAGTAAAATAAAAGAAAAATAAAAGCTAATAAAATATCTATTCTAAGCTGTAGAAAGAAGTGTTTTTTTATATATTTGGGAGTTTTAAGATTGGTTAATCGGTTTGTAACTGTCTGAGGATGAATTCGGTAACAATTTTCCAAAAAAAAAAAAGCCTTTTTAACTTACTTTTGGCCGAGTTTG